ATGAGCGTCCACTGTAGTTAGAGCCAAAATGTCTGCATGCTAATATTCAGTTTATAGACAAATTTTTCTAAGTTCAAATGATAGGAAATAATAGTAGATGATAGTGGCTCCATTAAATGATAGTTCTAAATGCCAAACATGCTGCCATGTATATATATCTCTGAGAGAACTGAGGCAAAAGAATATTTTGTTTTCCTGGCTGGAGCTTGAGAAAGCAGAGTTGGTCTGATAATAGTGGGGAGAAAACAAATAAAAACAGTGATCGAGTTTCAATTTCACAATGACCGTAGTGTTTAGTAAGGCCTTCAAAATATGTTTTAATAGTTGCATCACTTAGGCTTTAAATATTATTCAGATTTGTGAAAAGAAAGAAGGCTCCTCTCCACTAACTGCTGCACACAGGTCTCATTCCCCTCCCTGCAGCCAGCAGAGAGGACTAATGCAGTTCTGTTCTGGTGTTACATAGCCTGCGGGCAGTTTCCTCTCATAGAGGGAACCTTGAGGTGACATGGATAGGCTGAGATCTTTGGTAAAAGTAACTTCCTGTCATTTTCCACTGCTAGAGCTGTGATGACATCTTGAGCAAATAAATTAAAAAAAAAAAAAAAAGAGAGAGAATAAATAAGGAAAAAATGAAAAAAAAAAAAATTAAACTCTCCCATTCCATGTTCATGAAATTTTTTAATCTTGCTAAGATGCAGAACAAAGACTATTGAGTTTCCATTAATCAGCAGTCAACAAAATATGAATATTGTCTTCCAACAAAAACTGACTTTTAACATCAAGTTGTGCACTTACTTAAAAATAATTACAAATAATCTTAAAAAGAAAGAAAAACAGTGGAAGCAATAATGAATATAAAACATGACTGAGTAGGCTTTAACTTCAAGTATTCTATGGCATTTCCTCAGACATTTGTCTTAAATTTGTGCAGTACCCATCTTTGCATAGTAAAGAAAGATTTGTTAAACTCCAGCCTTAAATAATTCCTTTCTTAACATGCACCTATACATCTGTTAATTTGCCTAGCAGACTTCTCTTTTAGGAGGATCACATCAATTCAGTGAGAGCATGCAGCAAACTGGAATAAGCTGTACAATTACCACAGTTTTTTCTCCAGATGAATAGATAAATAATGGAGCAAACATACAGCAGGGGAACCATAGACATTACTGTGTCATTTCATGACAGTGATGAACAAATTAAATGCACGTGTACTTTTCAAAGCACAGCAAAGACACAACGTAGAAAATGAACACCTAACTACAACAGCTTTTATTGTCTAATGCCACAGAAAGCACTTCAGCCTCAACCTGCTCTGTGCTGTGTCATCACTTGTATTCTATACACGTGGGGCAAAAAGCCACTGGGTACTTCCATGTACAGGCAACAGCTGATGAGTGGAGCATAAACTCAGTCAAGAAATCATAATTCCTAAGAAACTGCTGGGGTAAATAAAAAGTTACTCCAGCACTGACTGTATGTACATAGAGTTGGGGACCACTGTGGTCTGATTTAAAACATCACATCGCACATTTACAATGTTGTTTGTGAAATGTTTCTCAAAGGTTTATTACACAGGTAGCTTACATACATCCAGTTGATTTTATTCACTTTAATTTTTGGTAACCAGTAGTATTTCCATTGTGGTTACACAGCTTTGGGAGCAGAACTGTAATGAACTTGGGATCATGTTCCCAAGCAAATTCATTTTATAAGACATTGATTATATTTGCAAGGATTTTTGGTTTGTCATAGAAACTTAGTTCTGCTTGAGGCCAGGCAGGAATTGGTCAGGATATGACTTCCAGTACGTATCGATATCGACTACCTGTGTGCAGCACCTTTAGCTCCTAATGTAGTAAGTGTTTAATGTGATTGTTAAAGCTGTTTGAAAACATTTTATAATAACTGTCAACCAAAACAATACGTAGTAATTCTCTTGTGAGACTGTTGGATTCAACGTTATCATAAGAAATACAACTGAAATGAGAAAGAATACTTTTCTTTTTTTAAAGTAAGTCACAGGAAATCTGCAGCATTTTTCTTAACGCTCTGACTCCTAAAGCTAACTTAAGAAATGGATTTCCACTGAAAATAGACAGAATACCTCGTGTAACTTCAGTTCTGTAGTTACTAATATCCAACCTTTAAATAAAAATTACAGAAGTCTTTGATTCTGGGCTATCAGTTGCAGCAATAAAATTTCTAGGTTGCTTCATTTAAATGATTTACTTCACATATTTTTTTTGAATCAAGGTAAACAGAATGAGCCAGATCTCTCAAAGGCCTATAAAGGTGTCCTCAACTAGCTCTCTTCATATCTTTCTCATGTCATGTCAGACATATGCAGGTAGCCTGCTTACTACAGGAGCAGCACAGCTGCCCAGCACTTTTCTGAAAAATCAGTTTGTACACAAGGTGTACCTAAATAATTACAACACATACAACCACCCTAAAATTATACGCATTTTGCATATTTTATAACTAGCTAGGAGAAGCAAAGTGTCAAAAGATTGATTTTGCATTATATTTGGAAAAGTGGAATGCAACAGATACAGAGAGTGCATTAGAAATGTCAGTTATCTTTGCAAGTTGGTTTGAGTAAGCAGAAGGGAAGAAAAACTTATTCCAAGCTTTTAACATTTTGCACGAATTTTAAGGCTTATTTAAATTTGTATATCACAGGACCTAGACAACTGGGAAAAAAAAAGCTAGAATTAAAAAAAAAAAAAAGCTTGGCACTTCTGTGATTGATTTGAGAGTGTTACTTTCTTACATTATATTACAGAAAATCTGCCAAAAAAAAAACCAAAAAAACCAGTGAAGAAGTAATCCAGACTTACAGTCAATACAGAGATGCATTTATACATTTTAATTGTTTTTGGTTTCAAGCACACAAACTTAGGATCGCAGCTGTTTGGTGTCTGAACTCCCTGCATCTGCATGCTATTCTCTGCCTTTTTTGAGCAAGCCCAGAGCACTGGCTGTAAAACATGCTACAGAATAAGAGGGGAGCAAAAAAAAGAAAAAAAACAAAACAAACAAAAAAATACCAACATCAAAAATAGATTTACATAAAGAATAGAACCTTTTTATATGGAAATCCTTTTCTGTATATATATATATATTTATATATATTTATAATCTGTGAAAATGATACATCAAAATCTTATTTCCATATTTACACTTTTTCCTTCTTGGGAGAACTCCATCCATCACTCAGTTGCTTCCATATCCAACAGACTCCTGGCCTGGCAGACAGTGAGCTCACAGAGCAGGGAGCTCCAAGGCCTGGTGACAAAATGCACTGCATGGCCAGAAGATCTGTCGTAGCCTGGTACCAGTTTCCCAGTGGTTTGTAGTTATTGGGCTGCAGATTCTGCTTGGGATCAGCTTGCTAGCTTGGTTGTTTATAATGTGAGCCATGCAGGTTACCCTTTCAAAATTAGCTTCTCATGCCACTGGAGTTTGTTAAGAAAAGGGAAGTCATGCGAACGCAAGTGAAGTTAGAGTGCCCGCGGGCTGGAAAAAAATCTGCTATTTCATGATTTTTGAATGGTTCTCTTATTGCACTTGGTCTTTGTCTCTTCCTTTGTTTGAGAAAAGAAAAAAAGAAAACCGATTTTGAAGTAGTTTGCTATTAACTTATCAGTTAATAATAATTAGTGAAAGGTGAAAGGAAGAAGTATTTTCAACTTATCTCCAAAAAGGACAGTTTTCTCTCTCCTCAATTCCAAACATCTCAACATTGTGGTTGTAGCTACGGTTTATGTTCTTCCTTATTTAGTTCCTGCACAGCTACTGCAAAGATATCATACCCAAAATCCAGTAGTGAAAGAAGCAGCTCTTTGAACTGCATTTCTTCAGATAGGGCCTTGTTGACTTGGATCGAACCTTCGTTTTTTGACATTTCTTCCAGGTTGCATCAAAAGGAGTAGAGAAAAACAAGAAAGGCAGATCGTTAGTTAGGTATAACAGGAACAAAACCAAAGCTGAGGTCATAGTAAAGTAAAAGGCTCACAGTGAGACAGCACGTAACATTTGCAATAAGGAATTTGGTTGCGTGCTTTTTGTAGCATAGTAATAAGTATTAGTTTCTTTATAAAGTTTAAAAATCATGCTGGCATACAGAATTTAATTATTTTTATAGTAGTTGAAGTGGTGTATATTTGTAGAAATGCTCAAACCATAGTAGTGTGTGTCTACTAGGCCAAGAAAGCATGCATGTGCCTAAGCAAAGTGAGCCAAAAGTAGTATGTAAGCACAAAGAGACTTGGGTTCTCAGAGCAGGTGCTCATCTTTGTTTATATCAGAATTTAGTTTGCAAGTTCTATGTGAGAAAACCTCAAAGTGCCTCTGTGAGCTCTTACCACACTACTGACCACAATTGCTGTGAATCTCATTAAGGTGCAAAATACAGCAAAGACATCACACTCGAAGGAGACTGGACAGTTCAGTAAGTTGTAGTCAGAATTTAATGTTAAAAGCAGATAGCAAGCCGGTAGGTGATATCCAGGCTCCTACGATACTGGTATCTACCCTATGTCAAACAGCAAGACATCACAAAGCAACAACAAAGTTAGGTGCAACCTCCCCAGTATCTGGCTTTATGTGGGGCATCAAGCAAGGGGCTCATGCATTTAGTTGTCCCACTGGGCATATGCACCACTACCGCCACCAAACTGACATGCAAAAAATACAAAACAGGAATTCATGAATTCCCTAAAAGCTACATACCATCCCCAGGATTTTCTATGTTCTGCAGGCCTGCTAACTACTATGACTGCTGAAATATTAGTAAGTATACTACAGGCAAAGTTTTCCTTGTGGTTAAGAGACCAATGAACGTGTGCAAAGGCAAATTCTTTTTGAGAAGACTGCCAAAGAGTGGTAGTTCCTGGGCATCTTTTGTTTGTGTTTTGAGTACCACTGTCTACATTTCTGTAAGGTGTGTGATATTTTAAAAGCTACTAATTCTATGTTCATCTTTCTAACAGTTGCCTTCCACAAGTACTGGAATAGCACCCATTAGGCTAATATTACTTCAGTGTCTCAATCCATCCTCTCTGTACTGCAGATAAGTTTGAGGTGAACATATGCTTTTTTTTTCTAGGTCAACTTGCTGAAACTGCATATTGTAAGTAGTATGAATATAATGCCCTCACCCTGCATCTGTCCTGACCAAACAATGCTCGTTCTCTAGTTTCATCTAGCTGAAATACACACTTCGAGGAATGTGATACTAATTAAATTACTGTCTTTGTTCACTTAGGATATTCTGGTAACAGTGTGCTATGAGGGGGAAAAAAGCCAAACACCTGTGACACCGGAAAAATATCTAAGGTAAGAATGCGAAACAGTCTCTGAAATCTTAAGTACCAGGTACAGGGTGAACAGGGCAGCATGGTACACACATGTAAAACATCAATGTGATCTTAGTGCTTTACAGAGCTGTACAGTTAGGCGCCACCCAAACTTGCCTTACAACTTCTTCATGAGTTATCAACCATTTTAATGTTAAAATGAAGACAGTATTCTTAAATCAGCAACTAAAGTTGCTGTCTTCCCATAGAAAATTACAACAAAAACAAAAATTAGGTGACTATCACATCCTCGGTAGCTGCAGTCCACAACGTTTCACAGCTATGTTTTATAGCAGCACAAGGTTCTCATACAGTGTTCAGCTAAACATCAAGTAAGCTTTTGCTAAATCTCCATGGCTCTGGTCCAATCACATAATCTAACTAGATGTATCTCCAGGGCCTGCTTTCATACCTGCCTATTACTTCGGGCCCATAATCATGCCTAGCTGCACACAACTAAAGTATTTGAAGAACAGGAGCTCTGAGCACTTGACCCAGGACAACAGCGTTATGCTGAAATAGCTTTCAAAAGGTAGCAGTGCAAACATTGCATAGTTAGAGCCTGAGTCACAAGAATGAATTAACTTTTCTGTTAGAAAATCAGTGGAATGTTTTAATGTATGACAATAATTACCTGCAATACACAACAGAAAAAGTTAATAAAATAACCTTTAAAATTCTTCCCTCTATCTGAAAAAAACAAGTCTGCTCTTTTTAAACAGTGCAGCAAAAGCAATTTGGGAGCTAGGAGACCTGTAGAGACCACACAGGAAACAACTTTGTTGTTTCGTGTAAAAAAATCTATGAGAATTTTAACTTCTTTTTGCAGTTAATATTTTAATGCCTGGTTAAGTAATGATCGTCAGCATTTCAGTCTCTAATCCAACCAGAAAAAAAACCTCTAATGTAACCAGAATTATAGACTACTCAATCAAAAAAGCACGCTACACTGTAAAATGATACAGCTAACACTGTCTGCATAATATGGTTGTCTTTACAAATGAGAAGTATTTCAGAATTTTTTTTTTAAAGGCTCAATATATGCAAGAAATACCTTTCTGTGTAATCCTTAGCATTATTTCCCACTAGTTAGTAACATGGTGACACAGTAAATTACTTGCAAGTCCTTTTCCTAACTATATAAAAATTTATTCCAAACCACTAATTTAATCACTTAAAATAACCAGTGTTTTCATAAGCATTCCTAAAGTAGGATTCAAATACTGGTTAAGAGATTAAATAAATAACACTTTTGTAGGAAAAAAAATCACACTACCTGATTGAAATTAAGAAAATGAGAGGCTAAAATTAGCAGCTTAAAATACTGACCTGCTATTTATTGTAATAGTTCAAAAAAAAAGAAGTGAGAAGATACATTGTGTGATTCTAAAACTGATGTTTGTGTAGGTAATGGCTGTATCCAGGTCAAGGAAGGAAGGAAGTGCTGGTAAGGGACTGAAACCTCATTGTGTCTTACTGCTTTATCTTGCATAAGCTTTTGGGGTCTACATGCATCTGCATGGACCAGCTAAAAATGTAGCATCTGTATGGACTGTGCAAGTCTTCCATCTAACTATTAATCCCCTGCTTAAAAAACAGAAAGCTTGAGCTCTAGCCAAGAAACAATTGCTGGAACTATACAGAATGGTACCTATGATCAGTTCTTCTCTGTCAGCCACTCACCCAGTGTGATATAATGAGAAGCAGCTTTTCATGTGCTTTCTCCTAGCATTGCTTCTTAGTAGCATTGCTTCATTACTAGAAATTGCCTTAATACTGTTAAAGCCAGCAACAAAAGCATTTAATTGTCTTGTACTACTCTCCAAGAATGAATATATACTAGAAAAATAAGCAAGCATATGTCCCTTAAATTGACATTGCAGCCAATGCAAAAAGCCACATTAAAAACTACTCTCACTATAAAAATGTCCTTCCTAGATCAATCCTGTATAAAATGTCATACACTGAAATCTTGCACAGACTTGCTATATTCAAATTAATGTCATGTTTCATGAATGCTGTATTTCTGTATACTTCCCAGCAGAGTAGAGATAGAAATATGTAGTGCAGTTTAAAATCCAACAGCTTTAAAAGTACTATCCAAGCTCAACTGAAGTATAATCTACATCCTGACGAGGTTTCCTCTCATAGCCTTTAACTCCAAGCCAAGAAATGTTTAATGAGACTCTTATGTCCCTGAAAATTCAGTCAACCTTTTTTCTTCCTTATCCTATCCACACATCAACTTGATTAGAAAAATGAATCTAGAATTCATTCTCGAAACTGGAAGTCTTAACCTCATTTCTCTGAGCTTGCATCAAGCCACCTTTTATGCTTCCCCCTCAAACCTCCCCCCACCCCATCTCAGTTCATGAACAAAGTTTGCTTAGTCGCAGCTTACGTTTGATTTGGACTTGACACCACAGTACCGTATGTTCATATGAAAATCTGATAACCTGTGAAACAGAAATCACATCTCCCAGTTTGTAAAGCATTAGCTACCTTCTCTCATATTTGCAGAGACTAAACATATTGCTTGCTTTAAAAGGACACATTAAAATCCTCATCTGTCTCTCCAGATAGATTTGAAGCAAAGTATGAGAGGGTCTACATGTGCTAGCCCTCTTTTGTACACAAGTTGAAAAGCCACCAACCCCCAAAAGAAACATGCACTTCAAGCTGTGAGCTAGGCCAGGCCAGTGTATTTGAGGTTCTGCTACAGAATGAGCACTTGTGTGTTAGTTAGTTAGTTCTCTGTTAAGAAGAGCAGTTTCAAGAGACTTTTCCAATACAGATTCTGTATAGGGATAACAACTTCCTACAAATACGCAGGCAAAGGACTGACAGCAGGATGCAAAGTGGAACATTTGTGAGAGTAGCTGAAGGGATGCAAAGCACAAAGAAGAAATAAACTATCAAATATTGTATTATTTAACACAGGGAGGAACTATCTAATCATCTGTGCTCACGCAAACTTTCGAGTGTAGGCATATGTGGCCAGTGCCTGCACCGCATGCACAACTACCAGCAGCTGCTACAGGAGGGCTGCAGTCTGGGCCGCTGGTTGCTAAAGCATGAGCTAGCTTACAAAGGGGAAGAAAACACCTAATGTTTTTGTGTTTTAATGAGTTGTAGTGTGCTGTCAACAAATTATATTTTGCATTACAAGTTTATTATTTAGGAGTAAATACTGTGTCAGAAAAACATAGATGCTATTAACATGCATATGTCTCTCACATCAGAACACTGGTCCAAAAGGAAAATCTATCACTCAGTTCTTTCAGCAAAATGTACTTGTGGTGTTCCTAACACTAACAGTTGAGGAGTCTATATATGATTGTTCTTAAAAATGAAAGCTTTTAACATTTCTATATTAACACAAGTCTTGCAGAAAATTTAGTTGTATTTAGTTAAAAAGCTAACTGCACTGAAGCATTAAAAAAAACATCAGTTTGACAGCTTACCTGACTTTTTCTGCATTGCTTACATACTTTGTTTGTTTAGGGAAAAAGAGAATTATTTCCTATAGTGTAGTATCTTATGGGATACATTTAAAAAAATGTGCATAAATTAGTTAATGCTACAGAATATGCCCAGTATGTACTGAAATTCTAAAGAAAAGCTCAATGCTCAGACTGCACCTATACATCAGTTTCAGTCTCTCCCACAGCTGAATCCAAATCTGTTGCTGCCTACTCTAAAATACAGACCTCACTGGAATCTCTTGCTTTGAGTATAGGTAAGATGAAGTAACACAACAAATTAAATGTTCATTAGTATTTTTTAAAAAATTGTTTATAAATACAAAGAACATTTATCTCAGAAATATTACAAGACTACAAAAAATATATGGGGCTATATTAAAATTTTGCTGCTTTGAGACATGCCGTAGCAACTACAAGTACTAGAGGCTGGCCCAGGGGTATTTATTGTACAAATAGGAGGACTTAAGTTATTTAACTGAGAAGGAGCTGTAAAAAGAAAAAAAAAACTAAACTAAACAAAACTGGAAGCTCAAGGTAAGTCAGTCTATCAGCAGGTGTCAAAAAGATAACATACCCATGCTTAAAAAAATAATGATCAACTGAGGATTTTTAGAAATTTTGGATTAGGTCTGTTCTTACTGAAGCAGATGAGGAGCCTGGAACACCAGTGCTGTGACTCCGCTACCACCACACAGCCTGCAGCTTGTGCCAGTGCCAATGGGACGCACAGGGAGCGCTGCCATCCCTGCCATCACCAGCTCTGCTGCAGCACTCGAAGCCCAGAACAGCGTTGGGAGAAATACCAAAGAATGCAGCAGGTCCTGGATCCTTCTGAAAGCACCGGTACTGGAAAGCAGTGCAAGGTGAGATGATAACTGTATTTTCAGAAGAAAGAGCAAACTGTTTTGTTTTCACCTGGGCTGAGAGATAGTTAGCTGTATTTTTCTTCTATATGCGTGTGTCATTAAGGCCACCAGATCCTAAGAAAATAAAATACTCAAGAATAAGACAACAAATGTTTTTAGGTGACTTTGAAACTGAATGAACTGATAAGCAGGCCTGATCATTATTTTCTATTCTGATGACCTCCTTAATCAATTAGGAAATTTTTTTTCCTACTTTTCAACTCAGATGTAAAATATGAATACGAATATATATATTCTTTCAATTATTATAAAATCCTGATTGAGGAATTAGTTTGTCATATCATAGCTCGCTTTTAATTCACATTATTGAAAAGCAAGAGCAAAAAATATCATGAGAAATTACTTGTTGCTTGTTGCAAATTACTTGTTAGCACTTCCCTAATTTTTAAGGTTAAAACCATTGGTTCTAAATTAAGGCCCTTTTAAACAAAAATTGGACTGTGTGTGCATACAGACCTCATACTGCCAGAAAAACAAACCAGATCATTTGTACAAGACCCTACTTTAACAGTTATGAGTAGCTGTTCCACTTGTAACTCTTGACAAGAGTTGCTACTTGCTCTTGATAATAAAGCACATTGAATTGAAATAGGTGAGAACAGTTTCCATTTTCCAGGAGACAATTCAAGCTTTCAAAACCTAAGCTGAAATTCTTAAAGTTGTGAATCAATAATAATAATCAATAATAATACAAAAAAAATCAGCAACAAGAGCCAAAAGTTAGCCCCAGTATTTCTGAGACAGCTGTTTCAGCAAGTCACTTTTTTTTTTTTTACTTAAACTACTCACCTACTGCCAGTACTCAGCATTTTCACGTAAGAAAAACTAATATTAAAAAACCCACAGTTTTAATATACTATAGCATCCCAAGTGAACAGACTTAAGTAATCATGGAATTGAAGGGACCTCAAGAGATCAAAGTCCAACCCCCTGCTAAAGCAGGTCCCTATCACAGGTTGCACAGGTCAGTCACTGTTACCTGCTCAGTCAAATCCATAGGCACAGAAAGGTTTTGTCTAATGCAGAGGGAAGGTTAATCTTGAGGAAGCCATAGCTGCAGTGAGAAATTTATCATTTGGATTTTTTAAACCCTTATATTCAATTTCTCTTGAAAGAGAATGACACTACTAGCTGGAAATGAAAACAAGAGCTTGCTTGCTAACTGTAGATGAACTCATGAATGTTAAATTGTTTCTTCTACGGTTGTTCAACTTTGCACCCTGATGACATTGGCTAGTTTTGAATCCATTTCTTCTGCTTGTTAAGCCCACGTGTAATTTTCTCTCTTTAATTTACTGTCAATTGCATAGGAGGAATTAACTTAAAACTCTTGTAGCAGGAACTCAACATTTAGTGATGAAAGCAAGAAATAGAACTGCCAGAGCCACTGAAGAGAAGACATGCGGCATTGCTTACTTAAAGCCCCATCCTGTCCCCCCAAGGACAATAGCTGCTACCAGGATGGCACCAGCGATGGAGCCTATTATAAGATTGGTGGCACTAGGACCTGTGATAAAGGATTACGGTAAGAAAGATGTAAAAAAAAAAAAACAAAAAACAACCACTATATTCACATAAAGTGAAGCAACTTACAGGGTAGTCAACAAGTCCAGGAACATAGACAGCACACACAAGGTGATGTCTGTAGACAATTTCAGCAGGCCCAATTTACTTTTAACAAGAGAATGAAGAAATCTGTTTGTCTCTGCACTGTGGGCTATGTTAACTTCTACCATAGATAAATATCTAGTAGAGGGTAAAATCCACTGTGACTTTTCCTGTTATCTAGTTAATTGATTTTCAACTAAGATATTTTCAGCTGAGATGTTTGTGAAGAATTACTTAAAAGTATAAATGCTGTATGTTTTATGACTACAGCAAACGGGGCAAAAAATAATCACAACCCCCTATTTAATATAGACTGTGAAAGGTGGTAGATACTGTCAGCTCAAATTAAAGCATCTAGCACCATTTGCTGAGGCTAAACTTTTCCTAGTTACGTCAATGCTGAGTTTACAAACAATTCTTGACAAAGGAAAGGATTACATAATAAGGAACAGAAGTTGACATAAAAGCTGCATTCCCATTAAGCTTTCCAAACATCAAAGCATCTCTTCATCATCCTCAAGAAGCTACTTAACAACAAAGTAGGGGAAGGGTGGAGCAGGAAAAAAAGAGCAACAAAAAACAGCAGCACAAAATATTTGTGCACTTTTCTGAGGGGGAATAGAACACCTAAATAAGAAATTCATAACTGAACCTTAAGTGTTCTGTTTTCACGGAGTGCAAGAAAACAGTACAATTTTTACCATTTTAATTGCTCTGCACACACACACAAAAGCCTATTGAGCAGTCTTTGATGTAAAGCTAACTGCTTCTCAGCTCAAGGCAAATCAAAACCAACACAGCAGTTATTTTGCAATATATTGCATACTGTGTTTAAACATTTAAATATTCAGGAGTAGTGTTCAGAAACAGTTCTTAGCTCCTCCTATCCCAGTCTCTCAAAATCAAAGTTTCAACACAGCAATAAAATGACACTGAGTTTTGAATGTTATACGACAGCTAACATAAGGAATAAAAAGGCGTAGCCAGAGATCAGCAAAGGAAGGACAGCTGCACTAATTCAGCATTTTAAACCTTCTGCCAGGTCCCAGACACCACAAAAATTTAGAGCTTGACCTAACATCACTGTATCCATTCCATGTTTGCTGTATCAGTGGTTTGGGATATATCAGTAGCTAAATGAAAACTAAGCCCTCAGTTTATGTTTGTAACACTAATCAGAATGAAACAATTACTCTGCAAACATGTTACGAAGTGATGCTGAAAATAAGTATGATTTATTACTATAAATAAGTAGGCATAAAATTCAGGTATAATAAAAAAGTGCTTTCCCCTCATCTTTCATGGGTGGAAAAAAAAATAAGCAACAAAAAACCACCCTATATTCTGCCATGAACTTCAGTTAATACTTTCCTTTCTGAGGCTATACATTTACTTCAAGAAGAATGATTATTTGCTAAAAGGAAGCATAGCAAAATTATAAGGCTTAAACATTATCCCAAACCCTTCCAAGCCCTTGTTTTAAAAACTGCTTCCTGCAATTCATACAAAAAGAATATTTAGGAATATTAATAAAAAACTGTAAAATAAATAGAGTGAGCTTCACAGATATGAGCAATAAACAGATTTTACAACAGTAATTAAGAGGTAATTTTTTACAATTTAGAAAATACCTTGCATAGACTTACCTTTGAAGTCTCACCTGGCTCTAAATTAATAGGAGTGAGTATGGTGCAGCGTAAATGAATGCCATTTGATGGGCACTATACTCCCAATTAAGGCTTGCTTTCAACATTTCACAACCTAATGAGCTATTGTATCCAACTTGGATGTATGGCTTACTCTGGATTTTATCAAATGATTGCACACAACAGAAGACTGCAAACACAGAAACTAATTGATCTGTAAGAAACTCTAGAAACCTCGTTAAATTCTAAAGCTGATTTCTTTCCAGCCATATAATGCTATCTTTCCACAGAAAAAATATGCAGATTAGAATATAAATTAAATTGGACAAAGATGTATTAAATGGCCACTTCTTAACATCTCTCCTCTTACTGTGTTCCCTGGTTGTTAAATATTTGAAAAAGACTGTGGAAAAATTCAATGAAAATTCAAACAGAAGAGAGATCCGAGACAGGTTAAGTTAATGGACAAGTTACCAAACTGTGTTTAAATAATAAATGAATCCTAAGCAGCCATTTTTCATAGAATGGTTATGGTTACAAGAGACTTCTAAAGATATCATCCACTCTTCCTGCTATGGGCAGGGGCACCTCTCACTAAGCCAGGCTGCTTAATGCTCATCCAACCTGCTTTTGAACACTTCCAATACTGAAGCATCTATAACTTCTCAAGGCAATCTGTTCCACTGCCTGACCAGCCTCACTGTAAAAACGTATTTCTTATATCTGATCTAAATCTACCTCCTTTCAGTTTTAAAACTCCTCCTTTCAGTCCCTCGTTGTGGTGCTACAGGCCTTGGTAATCTTTTCCATCTTTCTTGCAAGCCCTCTATACGTACATAAGAATCAAATAGCCACTGCTAAAATTGAGTTAATAGGCAAACACTTAAGATTCCAGTTCCCCAAAATTATGAAGGTGGTAAAAAACTTTGTATATGAATACATATAAGCATTCTATACTTCAGTATTCTACTGTCTCACAGTAACAGAATACTAGAATCAGAATAACTGGAAGCCTTACTGTAAAACTATTTGTTTATATATACTACTATATGTATGATATACTATACTACTATAGATACGATCAGCTAATAGTTATAGTTATTAGACTAAAAGCCACTAAGAACATAAGTTTCTGTTTTTTGTTTTTTTTTTTTAATCAAATAGCCCAGGTCACCCTGATTCTATTTTGCAAAATAATTACAAACGTACTTTTTTTTCCCCATTATTTTCTGAATTTGGTGTAATGTAAACATTCAGACATTTAATTTCAGTGTGACAATTAAAAATTCACAAGCTCTTTTTTTTTTTTATGCCCCACATTATCCCAGACAGGAGAAGGTTCAACACTGCATGAGCAAATCAGACGACACAGACACAGTCAAATCACAGACAAATACGACCACCACATGACAAAGCTAAAGGGGTAATACACAGGGGGCTCAGGTGCATACGGTTACCTCACACACTAGGCACCAAACATAAAACTCAAACTATGAAAAATGCTTACTCTATTCCCCACCCTGTGCCTCCAAAAATCACCCCCAAGGCCAGAATGGTCCCTGCCACTGCACCTATTAGCCTGTTAGTGGCCATGCTCACTGTGTGGAGGGAAAAGGGAAGATTTTTTAAGAAAATGATCATGTCATATACGTCTGAAATGAAAACATGAAATAGTTCCTCAAAGGAATATTTTACTTTATAAACTTTTGTCTGGTAAACAATTCAAGCCTCTTATCAAACTCTTATTTACCAAATACTGTAGCTTTAAAAATTCAGATATAAGTTTTGTCTTATTTGAATGCCTGCAATATTTCAGTGTGAAGTTTTCCCATAAAGGTAAGACTACTCCTTTTAGCTGTGACTGTATTCTTCTTTAAACATGGAACATCTTCAACTTACTGCTTTATCAAGTTTAATACAGCCAAAACATAAATGAATTACCAACAAGAAAACTTCCTTTTGGTCATCAGAAACATACTGTATCCATAGTATATAACTAAGCAAATGAAAATTGTTCATTTGGAAACAGTTCTTTTGCGTGGGGGAAAAAAACACCAAAAAATGATTTAAATTAATTCCTTTACTATTTTGCAGTATTTTCCTTTTTAACTGTATTTACCACTCTACATTACATAAATAGAAAAACATATGATGCCTTTTAAAAGGTAAAACTGACCCTGGAATTGTGTTCTGCACTTCAGTATGTTTACAGAGCCTTAATATGCTGAGGCTTTATTTTTCATTTTTGGAGGAAACTTTTTGAGAAAAAGAAATCTACATTTCATATGTTGCAAAAAAAAAAGTTAAAATGTTGATAGATTCATTGCATCATAATTGAACATAAAGAAGCATATGAATTCTCTAATGGGAACTTTTTCAGGGACAAAGACTATATAATCTTCATGCTGGAAGTCTCTTTTGAAATTGCTTCTTAATTTTGTTTGTTTCATATACACAAACACACACACACACACACACTTGAGACATAGGTTTTTGTGTTAAAAACAAACAAACAGTATTCCACTAGTCAAACAAAGTCCCAGTTCCGTAAATGACATTGCCAAGACCTTGCGTGTGTATGGAGTCCCACCAACTTCAAAACCATTATCCAACACTGTAAAAGAATTCAAAGTTTCTGCAGTAGCCAAACACTAACAGCAGGAGCTCCTTACCAAAACACCTACCATCCTGAGCTGCTCTCCCATGGGTCTGCTGGTCAGTAGGTTGCAGAGTTTAGACTAGTGTAAGACCTATGTATAAATATACTTAAGGACCACTAATTTTTAAATCCTCAAATACAGTATAGAGGCACAAGTAATTGATGGATGATACAAAATTCTCAAAAGTGCAGCAAAAAACTATCATAATAATATATAAACAAATACCAATACTATTTTCCTATACGTAGTTAAAACATAGTAAGAAAAATGGTAGTATCTATGGTGTGAAAAGTTTTAAAGCAATTTATGTGAGTTTTTACATCTTTGAAAAGCTATATAACCTCTCCCTAAATAATTACCTTCTCTTACGATAAGTAGCTGAAACCAGAAGAAATTAAAGCCCTCAACTCAATATCAGGGCTCCTGACTTAAGCAGATCTTTTCCCAAAGCTTTTGACAATGTGTAAAGAGGATTCTAGTTTATTTACATTTTCCCCCCCTTGTCTATCAAAGTGTAACACTTCCACCAGAGGTACTAAATGTAGTGCAAAGAGCTCATCAAGAAGTTATTCTTGTAAGAAAGAGCTGGTGTTTCTACTTTTATATAGAATTAGGTAGATGGAAGTAATCTGGATTTATTTGAAATGATGATTTGTAATAGAACTGTAGAAGCACTAGAAAACATTTGCCAGGGTTCTTGTAAAAAAATATTGCTATTACAATACAAAATAGCTTTCTACTTTTTTGCAGGTACTTCCTGGGAGATTTCAGTCTGAATCTGTCAAATATCTAAACTTCCTGACAGTCAAAACTCAAAACACCTGCAGCCGTAAGTGACAAATTTGCTTATTGTTAAAGAAGAAAATATATCCAACACTTTCTAATACAGAGGAAAACAAGTATATCCACAGTGTGATACATGAAAACTTTTTCTATTTTCTTTACATGTGGACGTGTTCTTTGAAGAACAAGAAAAACATAATTCACTGTTTTCCACTTATGAGAATATAATTGCTTAAAATCTCTCATGCATTTACTGCAGTCAGTAACCATGATAAAAACTGTAAAAATTAAAGGTCTGACACCAATACACAGGTATGGCTATTACCTCTGTCTATGCCTGATTTCTTGCATTTGCTCTAGTTTAGAAAGTCAGATTATATTCATACTAGATATCACTCTCTGATGTTGGATTTGGTTGAGATGTCATAATGTTCTCACAACTGACTATCTTCTATTTTTGTAATTTTGAGAAAAGGAGACTGGTTCTGTCTCTGAAATATAACAGAAATTTAGGGCTAAGGAAAAGCAAGTATTTTGGTTTTTGTCTCAGACTTGTACACTGGCAATGACAGAAGCACTGATAAAATAATGGAAATATTTTAGTACTTCGGATTTTTTCAGAACTATGGAAAACTATTTCTGTATTCTGTTGACATTATCTCTCAATGGAATCCTCTATTAACACACCTAAAGAGTTTATAGTATCTGTCAGTATTCAAGCTCCTAAATTCATATGTAGGTGATTCAACATCAATAAATTACTATAAGAACAAACAAAAATAATTCCTCTTTTGAAATTCTTTGAATCACCTTGTAACAAAAACATTCTCCCTCTTTTCAGTGGAGTCCACTGAAAACTGGAGTATAAACAACGTCTGTCCATTTGAAATTATACCAATTAGTTTCAATCACCAGAATCTAACCAAGATAAATATACCTCCTCTGTTGCATTTTCTTTTTCTTTTTTTTAAACAGGATGAAATAACTACTTAGGATTTGGAAATCAGCAACGCAGTACTTCAGATTTTACAAGCAGTGTTTCAACATTAGGAAAGTGGAATGGAAAGAATCTCCGTAAGACAGCGTACAAACCAGGCAGCTCTATAAGGAACTGCAGCAGAGTTAGGTGTCCAGGAAGTACCTGCAAATATTCCCAAAGAGAAGTCCAGACTGTTCTAAGATGGCCTCTTCCACAGTTCTTGGTAAAGGTCTACTGGAACCCACTGGACCAAAAGATTATGGCAGAGATGACAGAATTGGAGCAATTCTGGAGGGACACACCAAAATTCTGTCTCCTCATCATAAAATCACAGAGTATCCTCAGTTTGAAAGGATCCAACAAAGGTCATTGAGTCCAACTCCTCTGAAGCCCTGGACGTATCAAAGAGTGATCAACTGCACTGTAAGTACTACATTTTTAAGCTTCTTTCCAACAGCTTTATAGAATGGACTAAAGACTTCAGAAATGCAATTTAGCTGCAAAATCATCTGCTTATTGCTTTATCTGTAAAGGCATAATTCTGGATGAAGACGGTCTGATAAGGACAATGTCCTGATGGCAGGAAAAGCTTAAAAACCTTAGACAACCCAAGGCAGAGAAGTCAAAAGAGAATCTCAGATGCCTTTCTTCCCCTTTGGAAAACATTTTTGATTAATTATTTCCTCAATAATTCCTCATATTTAGCTGAACTGAATACCTCCTATGTAAACAAGAATAAGCAATAATGGTTGTAAGAATAATAAAAGTCCTTAATTTTTTTTTTTTCTATCCCTTGAAATCTTGATGCCCCAGAACCAAAGCTGTTTTCACCAGGGACACTCCACTTCTTTCTATTTCTTCTTCCACAGTATCAGAATTATGTGAGAATAGCTAAGGGAACTGGAAATCTATAATAAAATATAAATACTTGGATATGTAAAATAGAAGAGCTACATTTAGTGAGCTTCCAATCCCCCCCCAAAAAATTGAAAAATAAAAATAAAAATAAAAAAAAAAACTGCATATTGCTACCTACTGAGATCTCCCCAAAATGTAAATTAGAAAATTAGTTTAATCAGTTCTCAAAGAGAGACGACCTACATCATTTACACGAAGCAGAATTTTACTGCAGTACTGACACACACCACACACAAAAAGTAATAAATATTTGAAATAATATTAAAACTGAAATCACACAAACCCTTGGGTCCTTCATCTTTCTTGTTACCAGTATCCCTGATAGGATCATCAATACTGCAGTCTGTCCCAGCCCAGGAAAAATTACAAATGCAAGTGGCTTCATTACTGCAGACCTGAAAAAGAAAATAATAAAATAAAGAACAGCAGTTGCTTTTTAACTATAAGTTTATTTAACAAGTAATTAGGTAGTTAATTTATGAAATAAAAATTTGTGTTCGTATGTTATAGCAATAGCACTCAGTGTTTAAAAAGAGTATAATAATACACTAGTAGCCTGAAAGTTTCCTTTAACCTTCTAAATATACTTGTATGCTAGGAAAAGTATAAATATACTTGTTATAATGCTAGTTCCCAGTGGTTCCATCATCATTTGCACTTCACATCTGCACAGGATGTAAGAGATAACAGAAATCTCATCCACTAACAAATTACCTACAGTCATTAGAACTTCAGTCTGGATGTCCTGAAAGAATACAAACAATCATATTTAAAAATGCTCAAGACTTGGTCATGCTTTACAGCCTCTGCTTTACAGTCTCTTCCCATACAGAAAAACAACTAAGATTTTCAGTGCATTTGTCATCATGAGAAGACACGAGAATTAGACAAAACAAAAAAGGAAGTTTGACTGTGGAATTCAAAGGGAAATCAACTGTTAGGTACCAGCTAATAATATCTTTTGGACGCTGGAACATAATATCAAAAAGTCAGACTAAGTAATGCATGCACTAAGGATTAGAAATAGCATATGTGATTATTATTATTTTTTTCATTTAACTTTTATCTCACTCTGCTTCTTGAAGTGCTCACTGGAGAAACTTATCTAGAAAGATGATAACAAATGCATCTTATTACAGGTTTGATCAACTGAAGTATTCTTTAAGAATAACTCGAAACAGAAAAGGTATCAGAGATCTCTGATTACTTGTGCTACTTTTCCAATATACCAAGATTTCTTCTTGATCCTCTACATTCCATTTTTAATGCTTTTCATAACTTTGCAGGGCTCAGATTCACCTCATTTTCAGTTACACATAACAAGAAAAAAAAGCCTTTTATGTACAAAATTCAGAACCTGAGGCAACTATCACAGGCCCACTGAATCCTACAGTGGAGAGATTTTTAACAATATTACCATTTTTACCATAACATAGACATACAACACTGGATTTGTCGTTCAAAACATTAGCATCTGAAGACAGACAAACTTACGGGTAGAAGAAGAATACAATGCAACTGAATGTAAAATGATATAATTTCTGTATGTTCAAGAAGAACATATAATCTCTATTTAGGTTCAGCCTTTTATAATTTTAATTATTTAAGTCATCAGGTGTACCACAGGACCAACTTAATAAAGACATTAGTATGCAGGAAGAACTTTAACTTAAGATGACAAGTAGCTTGAAATATGGATAACATTGTACAGAAGTCTTTACAATAACTGATGTAAAACTTTCTCGATAATAGCAACAACACTCTGGATATAACTTCTGGTCTAATTTGATGATATTTTAGAAAGCAAAGTTGTGTCTGCTTCACAAAATGGCAATGTTCCCCAGAATCTTAACATGTTTTGTTTGTTTTTCAGATCAACAGGTCTCAGGAACACTTGCAAGTAGAAAATGCCACAGGGTACACATTAAGATCACATCTAGCAGAGAGAACTGGAGAAGCTCAGCTGCAAAACTGCAAGCACAGACTCACCCCATGACCGGAACAGACTTTTCCATTCGAACCAATGGGACAGCTACTTATGTTCAAGGATTGAATTGGCAGGCACTTTTTGTCCAGACACATCATTTGAGGACCACATGGAGCTCCATCCTCCACATAACCTAAATCTGTATCATCATCTAAAAGAACATGAGCACCACTAGGAGAAATAAGTTTTAAGGTAATATTAGTATTATGACTGCAGTCTTTTGAAAATATTAAACATGTCAGTGTAGATAGTAAAATCCTTGTGATTTTCTCACATTAGAACATATAGGAAGATCAAACAAAATTATAATCTTTGTCCACAGCACTGACAGCGTTGCAGTAGTCAGACCAAAAAGAAGTCTAGACAACGATGTAAATACACAACTTTGTGGAATAACAGAAGACTTAAGAATCGTTGATTACTCAGGTTCTATCTACCTAACAGAGTACTCTCTGCATGACAGTAATTTTGACAATATCTTTAAAATATAAATCCAGTAGTGTGCACAGTAAACTAAAACCCATTTACCTGCCCTTTAAATGAACCATAACTTAAGATCTTACCTGGTCATAACTCTTCACAATTCCCTTTCTCTCAACCATCACTTTTCATACAGTTATTTCTCTACAGATATAATCTTTAATCTATGGGTCTTTGGCAGTTACAGTTATTTTTTTCCAGCAAAATATAATGCTGAACATTTACTCTCAACCACGCAATTTTGCTACTATAGAGTCCAGATAGAAGGATTGAGAGCACAGCCCACTTTTCACCTCTTCAAAATATGGAACATTTTCTTTTGATCACAAGAAATACCACTCAAAATAATAATTTTGCCATAAGATATCAATTATTTTTAAATAATATATTTTTACATTTATCTTCATTTAATTAGTTTTGACAGACCAAAATTGTCTTGGAACACTGCAGTATCTTTTACCTGCAGTCTACTATTCGTCCTTGATGATAAAAAGAATTTGGGATAATTTCTCCTTGAACTTGACCAACTCGTGGAACTTTAGTAAGATTAGTGCAGAGCAAAAAGCCACAGAAAACATCGCTGTAAAAACAAAAACAGAGGAGTTATGAAGTAAACAGTCATGATGCAAAAAAAAGAAAAACCAGATACAATGCTCCTAACGACAGTAGGTAATACATTGCCATAAGCCAGACAATAGGCATTCAGAGTATAAGTTTGGAACTACAGTACTACTTGGTATAACTGACAAGAGGCAGAAACAAGTAGTCATGCATTGTAATATACCACTGAACAGTATTTATATTACATTCATGTGAACAACTCATCCACATTCTATAATATAATGGAAAGGAACCAAACTGTATGCAGCTTCATAATACCAGGCTAAATTACATTTTCATACATTTAACATTTTTCATTAATGTGAAGCTTGAATTTTTAATTGCTTTTTATTTCACTTGCAGGAACACAGAAACATAGTAATAACAATGTGCAGAGTGTGTGTGTTAATTTTGGTAAAGAATTTACTTTATTTGTGGATACACCAGATCCCAGGCATTTGGACATAAAAGTGTGACTTTTTGCTGCCTTGGCCCCTAGACTTCTTTGAGAACATTGAAAAATCTTTTTAAAATCTGGAATTCTTTAAAAGCATATTGCTGAGTCACACATGGATTCTTCAGAAATGCCTATGGTAGGTACTTTTTCAGGCTGCAAACATTGTGAAGGGGAGAGGATTCAAAATAATGCAAAACACTGCTGAATTACTGATGAGAAAGTAAAAAATACACCAATATTAATCTTTTTTTTTCAATAGCAATCAGTTCTACTATAGGCTGCACTTACTGTTTGCTACACTGAATCCATCGGTCTCCATCCTTTCCACAGTTTCCTTTTTTTGTGCCTTCTGTATTAAGCTTCTCATAGCAAAATTTGTCAGACCCTGAAGACTCTGTTGATGAATGAAAAAAAGGAATGTACTTTTCACAGGTTATGAAAGTCTGCACAATATTTTATTGCAGCAGTTTTCTGGTATGGGAACACCAAACACACCAACACCACCTACAAATGGCATTTCTAAGATAATCCTCAGTGTTCATAATCTCTTGGAACTATTCTAAAATCAATCCCTTCAGTGACTGTATTGTTTTCTTTACTTGGATTTACCTGTGGTCTGATTTTGTTTACTTCTTAACATCTGCATATAACATTAATCTAACTTTTTCCACTGCAGAAAACAATAAAAAAAGGGTAAATAAGACTCATTTGCATTAAAATCACATGTACAGAAGACAAAACTAATGATATAAACGTGTGAGATGCAAACAAATTAGTTAACAAAAATTTCTACTGTTTTTAATATTATCAATAAAAGAAGCATGAGGGGGCAGCATAACACTTAAAAAGGCATCAGAACACAAAGAAAACGTTATCTCCATCCAATTTTACACCTATATAGCATATTTTATATTGTGCTAAGATAGACAAGAAACGTTAAAGCTATATTTCTCCCCTCTCATCCCCTGAAAAAGCAGAGATTCTTCAGTCTCAAGTAGGCAGCATCAACAGTTGCAGCTATGTTTGTTTAGATAGAATGCAAGAAAACATTCAGTCCTTGAGTGCAGGATATCCTCTACTGAACTGTCTCAAAGTCACTGAACAGAACATTTATCCTCTGTCAGCTGCATAATCCACAAGTACAACTTTATCAAACACATCTGGGCTTAATTTTGTGATATGGATATTTAAATTTATACTACTGTACTTTCTTGAGTACAGGATGATATAATAAAGATAGAAGGAGCAGCTTTAGTATGAACCAGTACTAAGATAAGGGAATTGACAACTGTCATTAAAAAGAAAGCAACAACAACAACCAAAAATATCTGTTAGGAACTATAAAAAAAAAAATGAAATCCTCAAACCCACTTTTCCCCCCCATAACATTGTATCTAAATTGCTAATCTCACCTAACCCCATCAGGGTTAGGTATTTGCTGTCCTATCCATGTCTTACTGTCATCACTGCCAAATGAGCGTGCAACTTGAAATTTCACTTGGCAATCAAGTCAGTTTCACACAGCAGCCTACAGAAACCCTGCACTTACAGTAGGGAGAACAAAAAGTAAACATACAATCAAAGATAAGAATTAACTGCAAATAAAATATGTTTAAGGTAATAAAAGTCAACCTACTAGATCCCCAGATATATTTGCACTGATTATCTCTTGTCTTGCATTCACCATTATAGCAACGTCCCTAAACAAAACACAACAGGTTAGCAATGAGAACTGAACACTCGCCTTTCCTTTCCCACCCTGACAAAATGTCTGATTATATTCTTCACCCACATCTTGGGACGTGCAAGTTTTCATGAGTTGGAATAGATGGAGAATCTTGAGTTGTGCTCAGATTCTCAAAGTCAGTTGATGCCTAAGATGCACAGAGATTTCAGCAGCTATTTTATATTTTTCATTTACATAGTCATATAGAACATATCTACATGGATAATATATCTACATTCAAAATGTAGATACCACACGGATTTTGCTCCAGCTACAAATCTGTACTATTCATAGTGTATAATGCATGAAAAACGTTGATGTCCAAAGACAAAATCTATGCATAAATACCGAAGACAGGATTTAAGAGGGAAAAAAAAAAAAAGGAAATTTGTATTTGGTTGATTTGTATTAGTTGATGTGCAGGGGTTTTAGAACATTACATACCTGATTAGAATCACAAGCATATCCATCTTGTTTATGAAGATTTGGTGGACACTTAAAAAAAGAAAGATTATACATCAGAAGATGACATATAGACATTGCATGGTCTTAAATACACAAAACATATAAAGGAAGTAGATAATATAATCACTGCAGGAATTTTCATAGTTACTCATAAAAATAAAGAAATTAACATCCTGAGCCACGAAAACAAGACTTGACTCTAACTTCCTGCATATCCCCAGATGAAATTAAGGAGTTGGGGCAAAATAAAAATCAAAACAAATGTATTCACGAACAGGATATTTGATAACTAATATTTGGGAATATGTTTACTCACATGCAACATTTCCACTGCATTCATTTCAGTGCCATTAAGAGAAGTTAGTTGTAACCTACCTCCCCACAGACTAGAGACATGTTTTATTATGATCATACTGTCATGTTCTCTTGGCACTGAAAAAATTTTGGTATGAAGAATTCATTAGCTCCAGAAGCTTCAGCTTACTAAAGTTAAGAGTAGACAAGACTTGGTGCTTTTCTTCATCAAAAAGAGATTGGTAAAGGTTTGAAAAGGGTACATTGCTGCAACATACATCACAGCCAATACTTTCAAAGCAGCCATTCTAGACAAAGAAAGTGCTGCTCTCTTCCAGTAAGAGCCCCCCATCTACAGAATGAAAGGCTTACGATAAAATCTGTAAGTGTGAATGCCTCAAACGTTACTATTATTGTATTGCCATCTGTAATTACAAGCAATGCCCACCATGAGATCTATCCTGAATCTTATTTCTTCAATGCTAAGAACTTGATGCAGTAGATGACTGCAGCAGAGTTAAGAAGTTCCTATGTAATCCTGAAGCAAAATTTGCAGTACTGAAAAGGAACATGTATGACCTAACCAATCAAAACTACTTTGCAAATAGAAGATGTGCTGAATGTTGACTATCTTGAAGAACCCAACCTTTTGGCAGCTTAGCTTACTAGCTAAGTATTTTCAACAAAAATGCATAGAACTTTTAAAATAATCACAAGTGAACTCTTAAAACAAATTGGGACTAAAATGCTATATTTTTAGGTGTATACATTTTACATAACTGCATTTCAAACTGTTTAATCTCATAAAATCTTACTGTTACTACCTTTGAACCTATTCACATTTGCAGTATATTGTCAGTACTCATTCTATAGAGTACAGGAGGATGTCTGGAATAAAAGCTATACCAAAAACCCCACGTAAGTTTTAAAAGAAAAATCATATTTTGAGTCTGCTATATTTTTAATTAATATTTATTTATTGAGCTTCTAATGGTTTGTGTTCTTATGTTTAACAAATTTTGTTAGGATCAAATAATAAAAAAAAACAATCCCCTCTCTTTCCCCCAGCACAGTTATCTGTGAGTACACAATGGTGCATTTTGTTAGTCTGGATTTTTCTCTTGCAAATAAACATTAATAGTGTGAGCACAGAAGCTCCTTACATACCTGGCCAGAATCTCCCGTGCAGAACTCCGCAATATCACATTCGTTCACTGCATATCTACAGTCATAGCCTCGTGGAAAAAACTAGAAAATGAAGAATAGAGTAAGATTACATAAAAGCAAAACTGAAAGTTCCAGTTTGGAATGAACGCTCATTTTAATGCTCTGTAAACACTATGCTCATATATATTTGTGGTGAGCTTTTTTTTGTTTGTTTGTTTTTGGCTAAGATCAGAACACATTCTCAATAACTATTTCCAAGGATGAAAAAGATTTCAGTCTCTTCATCTTTTAAAGACTGTAAATGACAATTGGAAAGAATAGCTAAACTACAACAATACTCACAAGACATGATGTATTACAGCAGGGTCCATCACTACAATGAGCTCCATTAGAAAGAGAGCACTTCTTACAACAGTCTGCATAGCATTCCTGCAGAAAATATTAAATGATCTTTTTAGTTTTCCATTTAAAATATTTTTTTCTGTCCAATCTTTCCAACAAACTGTCATGTACCAGCACAAAAAAAATCAGTTCAGCACTGACAACTTCAAATTATAAGCTGGAAGAATCCTTTGCAATGCTCAAATAGTGAAGTAAGGG